CACATTTTCACTTTCTGTAACTTCTGCTACTTGACTTACTGGAGTAAGGATCATTATGAAATGAATATTAGCCACAAAAGGTGCAGATTTTGCAATAAATAATTAAAATGTAAAAAATTATATAGACTGCAACAATTAACATTTCATCAGAACCTCTAGTAGACAAGCTATTTTGTTGCAGGCGTTTCCTCGGCGGCTGGTCTTGTTTTGCTCTCGCGGTGCTTTGATGGCCAGGGGTGCCTTAAGATATCCAGAGGCCCAGTGGTGTAATGGTGCCTGGAGAAGTGGGAATACTCTTAATTTATGCCCCCATTTTTTTTTAAGCGGCCCAGCAAAGGATGAACAGCCTGTGTTGTAAACAGTGACATGTAAGAGTTAAGACTAGTCTTGCATATTTAGTTCACCCTAAAATGGGCCAATAGTATTTGCACATTTTCACTTTCTGTAACTTCTGCTACTTGACTTACTGGAGTAAGGATCATTATGAAAAAAAATCGTAAAAACATGCTTCTTTTCCTTTTTAAAGTATTGTTTTCATTATAATGTACTGATTCAAATTAGTAGTCAATAATTAAATATTATTTTATCACCCCTGATCTCCCCTGACATGCACTCACGCCCCAGACCGACTCCGCTTGCATTCACGTGATTTGTCGAGATGAGAGGCGGGCGCGGGCATAAATATCAATCAAATTTAAAGGGAAGTCGGCACATCCTGACTGTACTGGTCTTTACTGGGTATGTTTAGGGAATATTGGCATTTATTTACATGTGATTTGATTAGCTAGTCATGGTGGACTGTCATGATTTTGGCTAATGCAGGACACTAATGAATGATGCACATCAGAGGGGATTTAGAAGTGGGTATATGCAAAGCCGACTGATAAAGAAGTGGGTATATGCCGTATACCTGTGTATACCCTCCACTACACCACTGGTAACAACCCATACAGCATTTCAAAATATACACAAAAAAATGGCCAAAAATATATTTGCTAAAATATGTTTACAAATATATTTTTGGCCTTTTTTAATTTTATGAATGCATGCATGTATGTATGTATGTATGTATGTATGTATGTATTTATTTATTTTATTTTTTTGGGAGGTGGGGGTATTTTGAAAATATATTATAAAAATATAAATATATTAAAAACATATAAAACATATGTTTTGCGCTATATTTTTCAAAGCAATAAAATAACTCTGCATGTGTCACATTTGAAGAAAAACTTTGTTGTCTATAAAACGTATGAACATATAACACATTTAAATTAAATTCAAACTACTGCTACTCTGAGTGGGTATACCCCGTATACCTGCGTATACCCTCCACTACACCACTGTATATATATATATATATATGATTAACATTAATGAGACAGACAGGTATTTAATTAGGCTGCTGTCCATTTAAGACCGAATGAATGTAATATACTGACACATATATCCGGTTTTCACCCACCTGTTTATGTTCATTTAAGCCATAAACGACTGTATTATGTGAGATACTCCACATGATGGAGATTTTGACAGCTGTGTGTGTATTTAACAATTAAGGAGCAGGCAGAACTGGGATCGCGCGGGCGTGCAGCCGAGAGAGCGAGTGATTCCACCTATTTATCCCGCCTTCACTAACTGCAAGTTAATCGATAACGAATTGTGATTGGATGGTAATTTTGTCCAACGACAAGCTTAGTTACCTTTGATTAGGCTGTTCTCGCGTGACAGAACACTTCTACTACTTGCTCTGATCACCCAGTCATAAAGAAATGTGGAAATACGGGACAAAACATGATTTTTTAAAAACAAGTAAAATAAAAACAAACAAAAAAAACAACAACTAAAAATAGAGCTGAAATACGGGACGTCTGGTCACCCTACGTTTTACAGAAAACTTAATTTAAATTGCAGTAATATTTCAAAATATTAGTGTTTTTTTTTTTTGCAGTTTTGACCAAATAAATTCGGTTACGGTCTTCAAACAAAAATTACATTTGATAATTTGATATATTTTGGGCTATTTTTTGTGTTTTGTTGATGTTTTTTGTTAGTGCAAACACACACACACACACACACATATATATATATATATATATATATATACAGTATGTCCATATTTATTTTTATATTAGGGTATTTGGTTTGCTGTAGCTCACAGCAGGCATGACAGTGATGTAAACTGTCGTAAAGAGAGGGCCAGTGGCATGCCCCTCACCCTCATGTATGGAGACATTTGGTTGTCAAAGCCCTGGAGAAACTTCTTCTCTATCTTTGATGTGCACTGATATGTCCTGGCTGCCTCTTCCGTCTGTGTCCTGTTCTAGACTCCACCAGTGTACTACATACTAATCATAATAGACACTTCCAGCTCAAGGACATATAAATCACATGCGGATCATTACTGAAATTTCTGTAGCTTGAGCTGCCAGTTTGTCAATATTTATAACCCCGGCTCAAGCTCTTTATGTAATTCTGCGTATATCTCCGTTTAAAATCATTGGCGGTGGTGCATCCCATAGCAATGCCTCTGTATGGTTTAAAAAGTTAGTTTTGAAAAAACTTTACTGGAGTCTCAACAGATTAGCCTGTGGCTCCCATAGCCTGCAGTTGATACAACTGTCGAGAGAATAGAGCTAGAACCTGTGACAAGCCTCCTCAGGGCACAAAATCCAAACACACACACTCATTTCAGCCCCCACTAACATTTGGATGGGGAGCTAGTGCGGCTAGGGGTGTTCAGATTGAATTAGAATTGATTACATGTTCTTTTTCCCCTGAGTTGTGCCACAAAAGGACTAGTATTATGCATTAGAATCAATTCAAGAAACTAGGGTACATATGATTTCCCTCCTGCCAAGTCTGTGTCAGCTGATGTGCTGGTTTATATAATGTCCCTTTGCTGCTAGCTGGAGATAGCAGTCATCTAGCTCTTTTTTTTTTGCAGTTTTTCCCAAATAAATGATAAATGCAGACCAAAAAAAAAAAAAATTGCTAATTTAGGCCGCATTTAGGTGAGTTATTTAATCAATTCACCTAAATTAACTCCCAGTAATTTTGTTGATGAGATTAACACTGTTTAAACATTATTTTTTGCTATATCAGTGGTTGATGCTAGCATTCATAAAATTATATTTCAGACTGGCTAATGTGTTCAAACAAGGAATTGATTACATGTTCTTTTTCCCCTGAGTTGTGCCACAAAAGGACTAGTATTATGCATTAGAATCAATTCAAGAAACTAGGGTACATATGATTTCCCTCGCCCCCACTAACATTTGGATGGGGAGCTAGTGCGGCTAGGGGTGTTCAGATTGAATTAGAATTGATTACATGTTCTTTTTCCCCTGAGTTGTGCCACAAAAGGACTAGCATTATGCATTAGAATCAATTCAAGAAACTAGGGTACATATGATTTCCCTACTGCCAAGTCTGTGTCAGCTGATGTGCTGGTTTATATAATGTCCCTTTGCTGCTAGCTGGAGATAGCAGTCATCTAGCTCTTCAGATTATGAATGCAGAGCTGAATGCAGCAGAGTCTAATGCGCTCTCCTGAAAGAGATGGCGCTGCATGGTGTACCGCGGAGGGTCACGTAGGAGCTGACTCTGGCTGTCTCTGCAGATAAGACACAATGTATGAAGCATAATGATATCCCTGGCACATTTGCAACAACACATACATTCATCCATAAAAACATACAATATATAAAGGATTTTGCATAGTACAAACCTCAGGAATGGCAAATATACTCATCATTGCCTTAAAGGTCAGAAATACCCTCTCTGTATTATGAATGAGCACTGAGAGATTAGTCTTCGTGGCTCCATATGTACAGTATTCATCAAGTCCTATGTCATTTACAAACCTTCATGTATGAAATAAGAGTTTGTCTAATGCAGTGTACTCAAAGAATGCAGCTCAGACACCCGGAGCACGTTTTATCTATTCAGTTGTGATTGCGTTAAAACTATGTTGAACTAACGAGGAATCAGTTGCTAATTCAAAGAAGGCGCTGAGGTTGAATGGAGTTTGAGTGGGATTTAGATGAGGGTAATGGCCAATTAAATGTTGCTATACATGTTTGCCTGTCACCCCACACAGGATTGATCCGTCTCCGCTCCAGTCCATCTCCTAGACTTCAGGGACTAAAGTACATCCTGAACGTAACGGCAACAGATGATAACGCCTCCGGTGGGCCGCAGTCACTCTCCGCCATTGCCCAGGTCATTGTAGGAGTAGACGATGTGAACAACAACAAACCTCTGTTTGAAAAGGTACTGTGTATATTAAAAATCAATCTATCTCTATGCATATCTGTTTATTTACAGTGTAATTATCTATTTTCTTTAACTCTCATATTAGCTCTGTTCCAAAACATCTACTACTTTTATAATATATATATATAAGTAGTAGATGTTTTGGAACAAAGCTAATGTGAGAGTTAAAGAAAATAGGTAATTACACTGTAAAGAAACAGACATCGTATATAATGCTTCACTTAGTAATGAAACTTTTAAAATCTTTTTTATTTAAACATATAAAGTCTTTATTTGTACGTTTTCTGAGAGGTCTGCCTTCTTTGTTTTAGAAAGCTGCATTTGTCCATCAGAAGCAAAGCACTTGCGTCTGACGTTTTGGTTTCGATTTTGAAAGTAGCATGCAGGAATGAGAATATAAAGTGCGGGAGTTGATTGATGTTAAAAGAGTTATTAAGAGCGATAAGCCACGAAAATAATCTTGCGCTGACTGACAAAGATGCCTCTCAGACAGCGTGCGGTCCCAATACACAGAATTACAATATTTCAAAATATCTGTCTCGGTGAGTCTTTGCGCAAACAATCTGTTATGTCTTAACTGAACGTTTGCTTAAATGTTGAGGAAAAACATCTGATATGTAACATTATATTAGCTTTGTGCATTACGTAGGTCTTAATATATCCTATAGACGGTCTGTCTCATTAATGTTATTCAAACAATAAAAGAAAAGAAGGAATCACTCAGTGCTCTTGATTTAACTACTTTATTTGTAATGAATACAATAAAGACTATGTAGTAATTTTTACATTTGATTATTTGTTTTTCTTACTTGAACGATTCTGTTTATTTGTGTCTTTGTTCTTGTTTTTAATAGCAAAGATAAAATAACAAAAATAACTCTCATGATAAATACAGTAAATATTATTAATAAAAGAATTGCAGGAAAAGATGCATCGTGATGCATCGAGAATAGTTTAATAATCGGATGGTTACCGCCTGAATCGTAATCGAATCGAATTGTGAGCCAAGTGAAGATACACACCTCTAGTCGTAATATCTTCTGTGATGGGACAAAACATCATGTACTGGGCATTGTGGTATCATGGAAAAAATAAAGTTAAACATACATTTTTCCTATAGATTTGGGTTTTGACTTGGTGTGTGAAATTTGGTGGTACAGTATTACCAGAGATTTTAAGGTATGGTTGTTAGGTGATTTTGTTTTGGAACCTGCAGAAAACTTTAACTAGATTTTTCTCAAAATTGACTTTGCTGACTCTATTGACTTCAAACACTGGCCACTTGCATAAACTACTTAGACTAGTCTTAAAAGTTAGTCATACCATTTTTTTTTTTCTTCAAGACGAGTCATAACTTTTTTAATTTCAGTTACATAAAATGGTATATTGGTCTAATTTGAATCTGAAAAGTGAGACTGATTACCACTTGGTTAAGTGCTAGTCAGTCAAACTAGTTCTTAAGACACAGTCTTAATATTGTAAGTTTATGCAACTGTCCCTTGGTGTAGCTCAGTCTTTTTTTTTTTTTTTGTCCGATTCCAAACAATCAGGTATCATTTGAAGGTTTTTTTAACAGAGAGTATGAAAATAACAATAACACATTTTTGAAAATTTGCTCATTGTGGCTCATTTTACCAGCACGGGTCACAAATGAACAGTGGAGATCAAAATTAGAGAACAGCCTACAATTTCCTACATTTCAAGGTCACTGCTTAGTCCTATTTTAACTTATCCTAACATGAGTAGAAGGGCAGTTGTTTAAGCATATTTCATAAATTAATTGTATTCTGAAGCACAGTATATATATATATATATATATATATATATATATAATTTATGGTGTTGGTGGTTGCTTTATTTACCATCATTTTATGTTATTTCTGAATGTTATAAAATAAATGCAGATAAGTTGAATGTTTATATACAAAATATTTTCTCTTAACAATGTAATTTTGACTGCGATTTATAGGCAGGTGCAATTTATTATTTTCTTCGGAAGATAAGGTGTGTATATTCAGATTTACATTTATAAATCATGAATATGTAAAAGTAAATCCTGAATATATATATCTAATTCCTGAATAACTTTATACACTGTATATATTCAGACTTATAACTACATATTCAAATATAATAATTTCATGTTTGGCCTATGTATATTCTTTTATTAGGTGCCTTAGAATGCAAAATAACTGCCTTCCTTTTGAACAACCTTTACATCAGCGGCCACCTATGATGACTTCGAATGCTGTTTCTCTAGGTCTAAAGGTTTTGGAACAGAGCATTTGTCTTCCCTTATTCTCTCATATATTCTTGCTCTGTATTTTGTCTAATTTATCCTCTCTCACACTTTTTTTTCTCATGAGATATTATTAGCAAAGCAACCTGGGCTGCTGCTTGATCAGCTGTAGTCTTTTTAATTAAGTGTTTGAAATATGTGCTGAATCATTATGGGTCTGCTTGCTTCCTGATGTCTCCAGTAAATATGGGTTGAGTGCAACACTGAAGATATTTGGAGGGTCTTAATCTCCCCAGGCTGCATGGTGAGGTGAGGAGATGCTTGGCCGTGGGCCGATGTTTAGTACTTAAAAACTTCTTTTCAGGTCTGTGGAGTATTTTGTTTGAGTTTCTCTTGGCAGGGTGTGAAGCAAATTAGCATCCACTGAGATGCAAGACATCTCTTTAGTTTTTCAGCCAGCACGGGGAAGCCAAAGTGGCAGGTCTTGCTCCGCTGAAAGACCTCAGAGCCAGACTTCTCAAAATAAAATAAATAAAGCATTCATGCCACTGATAATCTTTAGATATTTTAACCCCATTCTGTTTTTGCACTCATTCTATTCTTTGCACGCTTTCTATTTATGTTTTTCCTGCCACTCTAGCTTCCTAGAATACCTTCATCCACCCTTTTTAAGTGAGAAAAAGGGGTTGTTACTAAGAAGTAAAGTTTTTTGTTGTTTTTTTATAAAGCTCCCACCTGAACCTTGTCCCATTCCCCCTATCATATCTGTGTTCTGGAATACCAAACCGTTCCCGTGGATATGTGAACATGGATCTCCACTGAGAAGTTCTCTTACTTGTAGGCCCACGGCATGTGTGTTTTACTGCCAGGTTTCTGGAGGTCTGTGAGATGGACTTAACAAGGGGTACCATGCTTGATGTTTGCACTTCCAACCTTATGGGATTTCGCATTCACCTGACTGATTGAACAACACAGAGTTTGCGGCCGCTTTTAGCTAGCTGCAGGATGAAAGAGACCATCACAGAAAGGACTGGGTCTCTTGTTATTAATTAGGTGTCAGATGTGGCCATCAAAGGGGAAGTTGGTGAACCGATTTGGGAATTGTCACCATGTATTTTAAAGGGATTTATATACTGTATTTGTTTTCCCAGAGTCTCAACTAACCTCAGCTATCTTAAGCTGAGCAAACTAATGATGAAGGGGAGGCAGTGCTTTCTTTCTTTTTTTTTTTGTGTGATTACGCACACGTGCAAGGATGAAGAATGTGTGTGGGTGGGGGAGCATGGCTGAATTATCCAGGCTTATTCCAGACGTCTCCACAGATTCAGTGGGATGGAATTGATTCAAGGGGACTTCAATTATAAAACAGAGATGAATCTCAACAGAACCAAAGAGATAAGGATTAATACGCCTCCTCAAACATTCTTTGTACCGTCAGTGTGCGTCCAGTCCACAGTGTTTACTGCTTTTCTTATTCATCTCTATTTCTATCTTTCAATCGCTCCAATTCTTTACTTTAAATTACTTGCTTTTTAGTAATGGTTCACTTCTGCTGCCCTTACAGTATCAGCTCCTTGGCATTTTTTTGTCATTAGCACACTTATGTCTTGCACAGATAGTCTAATCAGTGAAATTATGTTCATTCATTTAATAAATCAATCAATAAAGTTTTGCTTTTATTTGGTTTTGTGTTTTGTTTTGTTTTTGAGTGATCCAATCACTAGTGGTAAATGCAGCTGTTTTGTTTTTGTTTTTTGTTTGGTGCTACATTATGTGCTGCTTTAAAAGTAATTTACCATTAAATTGAATGTTTAAAACATTTTTCCTGCTTTTATTCAGTTTTGTTGTGTTTTGTAAACAGTGGCCCTCAGAGATCCTGTTCACAAGCTTTGATTAAAGTTGCATTGGAGACCAATATTAGCAGGTGTAAACAATAATGTGTTTCAGCTGACCACTTGTGATCTGATCACCCAAGACAGATCCTAATACAAGTGTAAAGACCCTTATAAGAATGTTTGGTTTACTATACATCTTCCTTTTCCTTCTCTGTTTTTCCCTCTTACAGTGTGCTGAGTATAAAGACAAGGCATCAGTTCTGGAAAATAAGCCAGCGGGAACATTTGTGCTGCAGGTCCATGCAGATGATGCTGATGAAGGAGCCAATGGAAAAGTCACATATGGTTTTATGCATAAAGACAGCACTGTTCCTGCCTTCAGCATTGATCCAGAAACAGGTAACGATTCAAGTGCACATTTTCAATGAGCTTATTCCTGGTTCAACGTATACTCAATTACTGTACTGAGAGCATAAAAGTAAATGTCTCCATTTTTTTTTTTTTTTCAAAATAATCAGATGTCGTTGAGATAACAGTCACAGGATTTGAAACAGAACGTTTATCTAACACAACCTTTTTAATGTCTCATTAAGCACTTTCTTATAATGTCATGCAGTCACTGTTGACTCTCTCTCTCTCTCTCTCTCTCTCTCTCTCTCTCGCAATGAAATGTAAGCCTTGAAGTATTTTCACGAATTCAAACTTGAGTTTAATTCACTTTAATCATAGCCTTTCAAAATGTGCCAACTCTCAAAGAGAGAGAAAAGACAGCATTTAAATGTGTTGTCTCAAGCCCTCTTTTTAAAGAAATGGAATGCTTTATGAAATGTAACTGTTCATTGGACATCAATCAGTGTGTCTTTTATAGAGGAGAATAAAGAGAGAAAATAGGAATGGAGAGAAAGTTGATAGAGAGATTTGACACTGAACAAAAATTAAGGAATATTTCGCACAAATCTGCTGTGCATCTAAATAATGTTGTTTGTGTGGTTTCAAAAGATAATTTCATTCCTTTTTATACAAGATTAAATAGGGATGTAACCTTACTGTGGGTTACAACAAAATTATATTATCTGTTGTACTGTGAATTTATATGTATTAGAATCTGGTGAATGTTGCTTAAAAGCTCGGGGCGTTTTTTGGTATTTTCGCCTAAATTTAACATACTCAAATTCAAATGTTTACCCTGCACACAAATGAACCCATATATGGGCTGATACCATATAAGGAAGGCTATGTAAGTGAAGCATAAACATTTTTAACGTCATTTCGCAGAGTTTAACTTAACTATCAGTGAACAGAAGCTCAGTGGTAACAGAGGTACTTTTTCAGGTGTTATCGTAACTGCTATGACGTTTGATCGGGAGAGGCAGAGAGAGTATGCAGTAACAGTGACGGCCACGGACCAAGCGGAGGACCCCCTCATAGGCATCTGCCAGCTCAACATTCTTATCCTCGACGAGAATGACAACAGCCCCAAATTTGAGAACCTGCGCTACGAATGTGAGCAATGATCACCTTCTTTTTAACTTCTTTCATGTTTCATACCTGTTGGGTTGTACATTGCTAAGAAGTATAGGCACTAAGTGTTGCTAAATATCCATGCTGTTTTAAGCTGCTTTACAAAGTTTCCTAACCAGGTGCTATGCTGGAAGATTTCAACAACAACCAATTTGTCTGTCCACATCACACATTAAAATGATGCAAGATGCAACAGTCAATCATAAAACACAACCAATCTGAACAGTTGTCTCGCAACACTTTGCAGCTGAAGAGTGTAAAACTAAAACATGTCTTACATGTTCATGACATCCATGAAGCTTATGCAGAATAGATGCTTTTTATGATTTTCCATATGGTGCTTGAGGGATTTATCATACAGTATCTGGGCCTAGTTGCATAAACACAGCCACTAAACTTAAAAGATCCAAAAAGTTATAAAGGCATCATAAATTGAATCCATATGAATCGAACAGATTAATCCAAATCTCGTGAAAAGATACGACCACTTTATATGATGAACAGATTTCATTTAGGATTTTATTTGCATGTAAACACATGCATAGAGCATATAGGATAAACAACAAAACTTAGTCTATTTTTAATTGGTGAACCAATTGCTGAACAAACTTCTGTCAGCTGGTCAAACAGCATGATCTTTCTGATAAAGCTGGTTAGTGGAGAAAGTAATTTTCCTCACACATGCCTACCACTACATCACAGAACTATATATCAAACTGATTTTGAAATTAATTTATTTTGGTTAAGATTTATCGAAGTATCCAATTTCAAAGATAGGATCAGAGGATGTGACAGTTATCTAAGCTTTTCGTCTAATTATGCACCAGCAGAACAGTGTTTCCAGTGCAATAATCAGAGTCTTGCTACTAACAGACTTCTTACGTGAGGACACCATGATCGGGACCAGTTTTCTGCGAGTGGCTGCACATGATGATGATTACAGCTCTTACGCGGCCATCACTTACTCCATGTCCGAGGAGCAGCCGGAGTATCTACGAGTGAATCCACTCACTGGCTGGATCTACGTAAATCAGCCAATCTCGCAGGTCAGTCCTGCTCCAAACAACCAATTTGGGCTTATTTTGAACTGTGTGGAGTCCTGATAGTTGAAATCGTGAGTTCACCTGTATGTGTGGGTGCTCCGTGCAGTCAAGACGTCGCATTTTAAAAAGCAAGTTTCAGACTTGAACTTTCTCAGGAATAGTTTCCAACAGAATGATTCATCATTAATCCCTCATAGAGGTCAGGAGTTCGAGGTGTGTGGAAACAGATCCAAAATTGCATTTGCAACATGAATATTGCATAGTTCTTGTGTGAAGTTTTAAGACGCTGCGGTGTGAATGATTTAGCAGGTCCACAACTGTTTCTCACAGCACTCCGCTCAGATGATTGATTTGGTGATAACAAGGTCTTTTACAGATTCTGCTTGTTTTTGTGAAGTTGATGAGAGAAATAACCTCGCACAGAAGTACAAAAGACTTCTTTAAGCATTAATAGTGATTACTGATAGGGTGTTTGTTTGTGTGTGAGTAGGTGTTTAGGTTTGAAAGACACTGATATCGGACCACATTTGACAAGAGACCTTTGTAAAACTGTTGCTATGACTACCGAGGTCTTGTGGTGGCTGGTGTATATGGTGAGGCTTTGTGTGTCCGTGTTTGAGCATTTGTATATGTTCTTTGTGCGATTACAGAGGGTGGGCGAAAATTGTTTAGCTGTCATTTCGCATCATTCGACATGCAGATACGAAGCTGAAAGCTGTGAACACAGACAGCTTCGGTGATTTTGCTGATAAGCACAGACACCTGCAGTGAGATGACAACGATTACAGTTATGTATCTATCTGTTGTGTTGATACACTTGACATAGTTCCATTTAAAGGTCATCCTTGGTGTTGTAGTTCCGGGATTTTAAATTTTGTTGATGCCAAGAACCCCCAAATATGATTATATTCTTTGCGGAGGACCAGCCTCTTAAAAATTTTTTAAAAAGGAGTAGGCCTATTTTCACATTTATACTGTAAAAAGTAAGTGTTCTATTTTAAAGAGAGATGTAATATAGAAATAGTAATTTAATAAAATATTAACTACTGTTATTTATGATATTGTGTATGTGCATTTTGTATGCAGATTTATTAGTATTCTGTTAAAAATTAGAATAAAATAACTGCAATTAATCTCATTTTTGTTTTATGCACTCTTTGAAACATTAATATTATCAAATTCTTTCAATGTGTTAATTTTGTTAAAAATATATATTTGTAATAACTTAAGCTAATATGCCAAATTTGACCTCCCTAAAATTTTTTGTAAAAACTTTTTTCCTTCTTTTCTCATATTCAAATATTTCACCCTGGGCTCCGGTTTGAATAATTATTAGGGGTGTGCCCAAAGCCGAATACCTTATTCGGAAAGGCACGGATAATGGCTTCAAAAACGAATAACAGATAATGAATAATTCTGCCCAAATATTCGGCTGAGGCTGCAGCACAGTCTGGTGTTTGCTAGATTCACAGGTGAGCCAGGGGATCAGTGCCATATTTTACACAAACCTCTAAATTCACGCAATAATGAGTGTGTGAAGTGAATGAATGTACACTTTATGAATGTAAAGAGCGCAAATCAAACACCGCATTGCTGTTGCCACTCCGTGCATCTCTCAGAAATCAGAGCTTGGCAAGAGTAGGCCTTATATTACCTAAAATAATACATTATACACGTTCTACTATTTGTGTATATATAAAAGGCAATGATTGAATAAGCACAGCGCGATCGCCAATCAAACAGCCGCGTTGCCGTCTCTGCGCGTCTGTCTTTCAAAAACCAAACCAGCTCTCTGTCAAGAGTAGGCTAATAATTAATTAACTTAAATACAGATACATTTTCTTCTAGGCCTACATGTTTGCTTTCATATGTTTTGCTGGTTTGCGCGGCACACGCACATTTGTTTAGTGGAGTAAAAAAAAAGACTCGTTTAAAGAGTTCTGCATAATGAAAATGTACGCCTTGAATTCATTCAGTCGTGTTCAAATGATCACTAAATGTTTGTCATGAAATCTTCCTACTTGTATGATAAATTATTTTTTTTAGAAATGATTAATTTTATATTTTAGAACACTGAATAGAGCAAATAGTCGAAACACAAATATTTTCCATACTTTGTTCTCTTCTTTTTCCCCCATAGGTTTTCCAGACCTGCAAATTACTTAAGTGAAATAGGCTACTTTTTTTAAACTGCGCAGGAACCGGTGAGCCAAAGGAAAACATGTTGTTTTACATGAACCTCTAAAATTACAACGCAGTAACAAGTGTGTGAAGTAGCTGAATGAGTTTATGAATGAAATAAGCGCAAATAAAATAGCAGTGTTGCAGCTGCCTTTTTCCATGCATTTCCTCGAACTCACGTTGCTTGAAGCACAACCGCACTACATCTCGAAGCACTGCCTATACAAGGAAATCGGCTCCGACTGTTAGAAGATAAATAAATGTTATAATCATAAAAAAATATATTATTTTAGTTAAACACTGCATATTTGTTCAGTGATAACTATGAAAAATATAGGCTGTAAAACCATAAACATAACAGTCTTATCAAATATAACTGTACGGAGTTCTGGTTCAAGCTCTGCCTACTTCCGGTTTTATCCAATTACAGGTACCGTACAGATACGAATAATTTTGTGATTGTTACAGATACAAATACAGATACAAGTACTGGCTTCGCTGCACACCCCTAAAATTATAGTCTTAAATTGTATTTGACGTCTCGATAATTGTGTTTGACTGTTTCCAGAGGACCTACATCAGCAGGCAGATCATCGCTACAGATGGAGGGAATCAGAGCAGTTCAGTCGAGCTGGCAGTCACCATCACTAACGTGAAGAACCAGCCTCCACAGTGGGAGAAGGACACATATGAGGTCGTCATACCTGAAAACACTGTCAGAGACACTCCAGTTGTGGTATGCACTTAACCTAACGCTAAACACTTATAAACTACTAGATCTACAAATATGTGAATTATGTAGATTTTTGCCTGCTTTTTTACTGCACTTAATAACAGGATCAGAGTCATGCAGGGTAACAAACAGTGACTGTCAGTGGTTCCACAGATATTCCTTACATAAAGATGATGATTTCACCAATACTAAATATACTGTGAATGAAGGACCAAAACAAACATACAGCTTCTGCTAAGTGATTTATTACTTGGGCCTTTGAAGCACACCTGTGAGGCACTCCATTAATAATGACCATGTCTTTCATGTGTGCATTGAAGGAATGCTATGATGGATGTGGATAAGTTTTAATCCCACAATACGGTTCTGGGTATTCCTTGAGGGGCTTGAGTTCCCAGACACTGTCGACTTTACTGTCATGTAGCCTACTGGCAGTTACGACTGACAGTCTGTGCTTTCTGCTCGACCACACAGATTCTTCACACTGCCTGTCACAAATCCACAAGTGCACAAAGGCACGCACACACATACACATGCCATTTAAAATAATTGTAAGATGCTGTAAGATTATCTAAGCTCCAGTCCCCACTTCAAGCAGCATTTCAGTAGCCCTGCCATGAATCATCTGATCCTTCGCTTCAAATTTTCAGGACGTTGTTTCATTACATTCACTATTTAGGAAGTCAGCCAATCGCTGAATCACTGGATAATTTATGGACTTTTTTTTTTTTCATTTTCATTCGATTACAAATGCACTGAAAGCATTCATTTGCAGAATTTCCTGGAATACATTCATTGCCATTAAGACCATTATTAATGCAGATGAGCATTTCATGAAGAACAGCATAAATAAACAGGGCAAGGAGGAACAAAGGGCAGAAAAAAAGGAAAATAAATAAGAAGACAAAAATAGAGAACTGCACAGAGATAGCTCTTGCTGTTCTCCTTCTAATTGATCTTGTGTTAAATGGTGTCTGTGTTCTTGTTGGTATAGGAAGTAATTGAGCTTATTTAATCTGATCTGTAGTGGTGATACAGTTGCCCCATTAACAGAGATTCACAGATGTTATATTTAAAGACAGAGACTCAATTCTCTTAGGACAGAAAGAGAAGTCTTTGATGTTGAACATGATCAACTTGTGTCTTGCTTATTGCTTATCATATATATATATATATATTATAATAATGAAATGTATTATTATTTTAATAATATATTATATAGTACTTTAAATATGTGAAAATGTGGGGTTGGCAAGATTAAAAAAAAAAAGGCTCATGCTCACCAAGGCTGCATTTATTTGATCAAAAATACAGTAAAAACAGTAATATTGCACTACATTGATGTATTTAATAGTAATATAATTTGAATATGCCAATTTGGTGGTCAGTAAACATTTCCAATAGGAAACTGATCACTTTTGATCAATTTAATGGATCCTTGCTGTATAAAATAATTATAATTGTATTGATTTAAATTCAATTAAAATCATATTGACCCCAAACTTTTCAATGGTAGTGTATAAATGAATGTTAAACAATTTCCTCCTTGCAGACTATCAAGGCCACCTCTCCGCTGGGCGACCCGAGGGTGACTTATAACTTGGAGGATGGATTGGTGCCAGAGAGCAACATGCCTGTTCGTTTTTACCTAACCCCGAATCGTGAAGATGGCTCTGCCTCTATACTTGTCGCAGAGCCCTTGGACTATGAGATAACACGCAACTTCATGCTTAGGGTTCGAGCTCAGAACGTGGCTCCTGTTCCCCTGGCTGCCTTCACTACTGTTCACATAAACATCACAGGTAAAGGATATCCATATGGCTCAGCACAGCTGAAACAGGTTTAGAGGTTGTCATGAGAAAAAAAAAAGTTACATTTACTATTGGCAGTGTATTCCTATCTGTGCAGTCTCTTGTGCAGCCTAATAATCCAACTGATACTGTAGCTCAACCAGAATGAAAAACCTTCATGTAAATGTTGATTTAGCTCAGTCCAATTGAAAATAAGTGGTGCTGATCTTATATAAATCATTAAATAGAGAGTTCCATATAAACCTTTCATGAATTTAGATCAGATTTAACCCTTAAATGCACACATCGGGTCTTTAGCGACCCGGGACATCATTCTCTACCCTCTCCCTCCTTCATTTGTTAAAGTTAGACATCAACATTCTTAGTATTTCTCAATCTATTAATTATAAACAATATAACAAGAAAAAAATTGTAATATATAAAAGAATGCCTGCATGTTTTCTGATTAATTTTTTGTAAAAAAGTGTACAGGTTCGCTAGAGACCCGAGGTATGTAAATGTGCAAGTATTTTTTCCTGCGCAACTATATTTACATATCTGATGACTCAATATGTGCAATGCATCTTTTTTCCTCAAGGTGGCACTGTTTTATACACAATGATGACGTGACGTTTCACTCATAATTACCGCAGGCATAAAACAAACGAATATCATCAGCAAAAATTGAAGTGGTTTGAATGGCTTTACTGCAGAGCAATTACTATACGCAATGAAATATAAATATCACTGCCATTTGATGCTGGATGTGGTGAATAAACTGCCAGTAATCAAAATATTGAATAAGAAGTCATTGAAAACGATAGTTTTGAGAATATAGTTGAGATCGCGAGTAAGAGCCAGATGCTGGATGTAGCCTACTGGGGAAGTGCGCTCTAACGATGACAGCAATGGTGAAATTATCTGCTCAAATTGAACCCTTTTAAGTTTGAAAAGGTAACAAAATATGCTTTATTTTATTCTTCTGTAATTGTTCTTAAAATATCAAGAGAGTTTTTTGCTATTGCAGCAGTTAGAGATCTATCCATGCTGGATATACACTGTATGTCCGGGTCGCTAAAGACCCAAATATGTAATAATGATTGGCGAAACATTTATGCATTTAAGGGTTAAAAGTACCTTGTATGCACAACCAGTACAGTGAAGGACAACTCTATGCATGTAGTTAGAAACTAAGTTCAAATAATTTAAAGGACATGAGGTAGATATTACAGAAAGGTATTACAGGCCTGCAGCATTTCAGCATGGCTTTGATGTAACTGTCAAAACATATACAGTACTGTGCAAAAGTCTTAGGCCACTAGTATTTTCACCAACTTTTTTTTTTTTAAGTCAGTTATTTCTATATTTTGCTGTAGTGCGTCAGTATGAAATATCAGTTTACATTTCCAAACATATCTTTTGCCATTAATTGTAATAATGCAGTGAGATTTGTGTATGCACAAGAAGTCTGACAACAGCCAGTGCTCCACACAGAGATCTGATCTCACCATCATCCAGTCCGTCTGGGATCACATGAAGAAACGGAAAAAACTGAGACAGACTAAATCCAGAAGAACTGTGGCAACGTTTCCAAGATACTTCAAGAAACTTAAAACAACTTTTGTCCTGGGTCCACTAGTTTTTCAGGTAGCTTTGCAGGTAGGATTCTTGAAGTGTCTTGGAGACGTTGCCACAGTTCTTCTGAATTTAGTCTGTCTGTTTTCTGTTTCTACATGTAATCCCAGACGGACTGGATGATGGTGAGATCAGATCTCTGTGGAGCACTGGCTGCTGTCAGACTCCTTGTGCAGACAAAAATCTAACAGGATTACTACAATTAATGGTAAAATAAATGTTTTGAAATGTAAACTGATATGTCCTACTGACACACTTCAGCAAAAGATTTTTTCTTTCAACAATTTTTGTTGGTTAAAATACTAATGGCCTAAGACTTTTGCACAGTAGTGTATAAATACAGAATTTTGATTATAATGAGATGCAAAGTGTAGTGTAACATGAAATGCAGCTCTTTGCATGTGCAGAGATTATGTTAAGAATACATATTACACAAATTGATATTTTCACCAAATTGTGGAGCTTAGGATGCATGTAAACATTCAATTTAGACCATTTGAGGTTGGATTGAAATGATTAAAAGGAACAGAGTTCTGTGCTTGTCACTGTGGGGCTTGTTTACAAACCATTTAAATTGATAGTTTTTGCCTGCACTTTTTTATTTCTTATCAAAGTGTCTTAATATCTACACTTTAATCACATTTAAAATGACAGCTTTTAATCTATTTCTTGTTTGAATTCCTGTTCCTTGTCCTTACACTTGTTAATTTATTTTTATAATCCAATCATGGTCTTAAACTCTGATTATTGTGGAATATGTCCTGTAGCCACGACTCTTTAATAGCCTTTATTTCATCCCACCCTGTCGGTTCGCCTCTACTTAAGTATTCCTCTGTGTTCATCTCTTCCACTGCAGGAAGTCTCTGTGCTTCCCCTGTAATTTACAGAGTTTGCCCCACAGTGTTAATCTGGCTCTCTCTTCATGGATGAATCCTTTGCTCTCCCCCAGTTATGACTGGTCCATAATACTGAACCGGCTACAACTCCAGAAACAGTCCTCCTACAACCCCAGATGTATTAACATACATATTTTAAGTACTGCATTCTTAAAAGATGTATGTTAATACATCTGGAGATGTATGAGGACACTGGCACTTTATCAGGATCAGTTTTGTAATCTGAATGGTAATATCTTCATAGGAAACACTTTATCGTTCAGCGTAAGCCACAGACAAATAATTAATATGTTCTGTTGTTTTTTACTTATTTACACCAGTGCTTCTTTCTCTATGAAAGAGTACAGCCAGTGCCATGTTCAAAAGAGAGTCGGAGGGGGGGAGAGAGAGGCAGAGCGAAATGAGGGATTGCTGGATGGAGGAGGTCGTAATGGATTTGGCCTTCCTGTTTAATTCATGGTTTACGGCTTTGGCTGATAGAAAATTAAAACCTCAAAGTACATCAGATGGTGATTAGTGTCTGGAATCCTTGAACCCATTAAAGATCTTACCCTAAATTCCAATGTCCTCATGTCCGTTCTAGTACTGGGAGCAGCACATTTTAGGAGAGTAGGCTTGGTCTTAATTTCCTCTTGAACACATAGAATCCACTAATGTAATAAGGTTTAGATAAGACATAATGTCAGAGTTAAGATAAGTCAGATTTGTTTCTGATGGAAAGCCAGAGTTTCCTTTCGAACGGTCTCTCCCGTTGCATCGCTGACACTTATGGGGCAACTCCTGTTTACTCTAATACTGAAGCCTGATTTGTTCACGTTTGTGTAACTGTACAAACCAATGGTGCTTCAACCAACCAAAAGGGGAGGAGCCAACTATATAAGTCGGCTCAGAGTGCCATTTTGTCAGAATGTTTCTCCTTCAGTGACGAAGATCATCTCCTCGCTGACTCTGCAACTCATGTTGGCCGCTTCCTCTGTAATTCCTCTGGGCCTGCTTCACATGAGGCCTCTTCAGTATTGGCTCAAAGCCCATGTCCCGTCCCACGCTTGGCGCCTGGGATGCTTTCATCTCAGTGTAACCCACTGCTGCATCAGAGCTGTGGCCCCTTGGAAAACTCCTCGCCTGTTTCAATCAGGCGACCCATTGGGACTGACCTCCAGAAGGAAGATGGTCACAACAGATGCACCTCTTCTCCTCAAAAGACAACTTTCACTGCCCAATTTATTTTTCGAAGCATCAAGATGCCCTGGCCCACAACTGGCTGAGAGCTGTATGCCTTTCCTCCAGTTCCCCTGTTTGTCAGAATGTTTCTCCTTCAGTGACGAAGATCATCTCCTCGCTGACTCTGCAAGCAAGAAGCCGAAGAAGAAGAAGAAAGAAGCTCAGCCTGCAGTTCACCACCATAAGAAGGAGCCCCTGGCAGCGGAAGAATCCAGAAGCCTTCCCCTGTGGCTATCCAGTGTATTTAAGCAAATTTCTGAGCAAATTTCCAGCGGCGTTGTTTCAAATGTTGCGCTGCAAGTGTGACTCGGACAGGGAACCCATGCAGAGGCTGCGCTCACCGGTACGGAGTGCTCTCAATGCGAGAGCATGAGTCTCGCCCATCTCTGCTCATTGGTAGCCTTCTTTAATGAAGGCGGTACTCCCCTCTCTGCTCTCCCGTTTCCACTCTCCCCTAGGAGGAAGAAACAGAAGAGCAGCGGGGCTCAAACACCAGGCTAGAGTGAACTCAAGCCGGTGTAGCTCCCGCCATCAGTTGGGTCAGGGAAGTCAGATGCGCACTCCTCTTGGTGGCCCCACTCTGGAGGAATCAGATGTGGTTCCCCAAGTTGATTCAGCTGCTATCGGCAGCCCCTTGACCGATACTACTGAGGAAGGACCTTCTCTCACAAGCAAAGGGCATGATTTGGCATCCCCGGCCAGAGTTGTGGAGCCTTCATGTTTGGCCCCTTAACGGGAGCCTTTGCAGCTCCCTGCGAGTGTAACTAATACTATTTTAGAGGCTAGAGCTCCATCTACAAGACGTCTTTACACCCTTAAATTGTCATTTTTCTTTGACTGGTGTGCAGTACGCAACCAGGACCCTTCATCGTGCGACGTGTCCTATGTGCTAACCTTTCTACAAGAGCTGCTGGATAAGGGGTGCACCCCTACCACGCTCCAAGTATATGTGGCAGGCCCTAAGAGGTCCTCCCTTTGAGCCACTCCAATCGGCCAACTTGTGGCCCCTGTTACTTAAGACCACCCTCCTTCTGGCTTTAGCGTCAGTCGAGCGAGTGGGTGACCTGCAAGGAATGTCAGTCATTGCTTCCTGTCTTGAGTTTGGGCCTACCGACTGTAGAGTTATCCCCAAACTGAGACACTGTTATGTGCCAAAAGTGCTCTCCACTCCATTCAGAGCGCAAGTCATCACCCTCCTAGCGCTTCCCATTTCAGAATGTGAGCAGGGTCCTAATGCACTCTGCCCAGTTTGGGCTCTTAGAGTGCATGTTGAGCACTCTGGCCCATTTAGAGCACTCAGATCAGCTGTTTGTATGCTTCGGAGGCCGCTCTAAAGGGCCTAGTCAATGCTATAGCCCTGGCTTACACTTCAGTGGGCTTGCAGTGTCCTATAGGTGTGAGGGCCCACTCCATCAGAGGAATGGCCTCCTCCTGCGCATGGTCTAGCGGGATTTCTATTGGTGATATTTGTGCGGCCGCCGGCTGGTAGTCCCCATCTACCTTCACTAGATTTTATAACTTGAACATCCCTGCCTTGCAGGCACGGATCTTGTCCCCATAGTTCTACCTAATTCCCTTTGTTTTTTTCTTATTCCGAGGTCACCGTAGCCACTAGATCCAGTCTGTATCCAGATCAAATGGTCACTGCAGTCACCCGGATCCAGTACGTATCAGCCCAGATGGTGGATCAGGACCTAGAGATGACCTCGACAGCCATGAATGTCAGCGGAGACCAGGACAACTAGATGAGCCCCAGAGACAGATCCCCAGTAAAGACCTTGTCTCCTAGACGGCCACCGGGACAAGACCACAGGAACCAGTTGAGTCCTCTGCTCAATGTGACTTTGCTGCAGCCTGGATTTGAACTGCTGGTTTCGTCTGGCCAGAGGAGAACTGGCCCCCAACTGAGCCTGGTTTCTCCCAAGGTTTTTT